ATAATTTTCGCGGGTTTGATTTTTATGACACATTCTTCTTCATCGCGGAAGTCATTCGTGAACATTTGTTTAGTACCCTATTGCCATATTACTAAGAACCGCCCCCTACATCTATATCCATTTCCATACCCGATCCTGTGGACCGAATGGTAAGCAGTCGACGTCGCCCTAAACACGTCATTACGGATCCTCCCGATCCATTATCGGTGCTTTTAGGTACCACAAGCACCGGTCACCGTCCTCATCGAACCCTTCGCTTGCGATGAAGGGCTCGACGAGTAAATTAGCCCATAGACACAGCCCCGCCGGATCTTCTCAGTGGGTCGCGTTTCCGATCCGGTGGTAGATTCTGTGAAGCACTGCTCTTGCTAGGGCCAGTGTTAGCAACACTTCCGGTTTGAGCCCCGTGAGCTCACCTACACGTCAAGGCGAAGCTGAAATAGCCTCTCAAGGCTATCAGCATAGGTAGGGAAAAAAGTATTCGTTTCTACCGTACCATTTGGCTCTGGAAATATCCTTTTGTTTACATTTCTCAAGCGCTTTGACGTGCCTTTCATCTACGTGATTTGTAAAGAATTATTAATTTGCGTAATTAATTCGAGTTGTGTTTAATTTGCGTAATTACTGGAGGGAGGTGGTACCACAACCCTGCCTATTTCTGCCGTGAAGCAGTACTGCGTTTCGGTTTGAAGGGTGGAGCAGCCGTTGTAACTATACTTGAAACCTTAGAACTGATATCTCAAGGTGGGTGGCGCATTTACGTTGTAGATGTCTATGAGCTCCAGTAACCACTTAATACCAGGTGGGCTGTGAGCTCGTCCACCCATCTAAGCAATAAAAAAATATATATTAGGCAATAATATCATATGTGTCTGACAATTTCGATAACCGTGAACGATTGTGAACATTCACGGTCAGGCGGGCCGTAAGCTTGACTGTGTTCGGTACACCAAAAAGTAATTTCAAACCATCATCAGAAGTGAGCAATATAAAGAGAATCCATAAAAATGTTCGGAACCCTGTAACGAGCGTACGCTTGCTTGATTGATGGCCGCTCAGCCGTGGGATCTAATTAGTTACGTTGAGCTTTAGTTTGCGTTAAGCTTCATTAAGAAATATATTTGTTTATTTAAAAATGGAACGAGCTCTGGTTCTATTTATACATATTTAGTTTGAATGAGAAATTATGAGTGTCAATAACAAATATTTTTTTAATAAAAGGTTTTATTTTATTGCGAGGGATATTGAGGGAGAATATTTGCTAATGATTAATACGACTTTTTCATCCGTATGATCGTGTATTTATTTAGCTTCTTCTATATCGTTCCCTCACTACTGAAGATCGCGACTACATGTGATGTTCTTCCACTGTGCTCGATCATGGGTGACATGGACTGTATGGTACAAACTACCACCAAGTGCTTCTCTTGCTAGATCTGACCATCTGGCTGGTGTTCTGCCCACGGCACGCTTGCCCTCTATGCGACCCGTAATTATGAGCTTCTCTAATTCATGTCTGAGAGACCGCATGATGTGTCCGAAGAAGCTCATAACATTATAACACATTTAACATAGTTACAATATTAAATTAAGTAAAATCAGAAAGCTGCAACCGATTCCTTTCACATATTTTTGACAAGTCTGTTCTTTTTAAGACGGTGTTGCCAGATTAAGATCTTAAAAGTAACGTTCCGTGACAGTTATTGTGAACGACTGCAGGCATTACGGATCAGAAATGTCAAAATGTTTGGTGTATTCTTATCAGAGTATGTGAAAGTAGCAACACTGGCATAGAACATAAGAAATTTGACAACAACATGAATCATGGTAATGACATTTTCGAAGACATTTAGTTCTTAGAGGCCGCTGGAGCCTTATTTGGATCCGGTTAATTAACATTACTTACCCATCACGATTTACAATTACAATTTCAATTGTGTATTTACATTTTCTCTTCTATTTTTCTTGTCATTTTTATAGAAAAAGTCAATTTATAAAGAAACCATTTAACACTAAATTATTAATAAACAAAAAAAAAAAGAAAATCGGCCGATAAACAAAAGAGGAAATAATATTTAGCTCTATTGCCTCTGTCTATTTACATAGGTATTATAATTGATTTGAATTTGTTAAAACTAAATCATTATTAGTTCTTCTTCTTCTCCACATTATCCCACTAGGTGGGGTCGGTACAGCTATTTTTTTCTCTTCCATTCTCTTCTATCAGTCGTAAGCTCAACACTCACTCCTCTCTCTCTCATAATATCGTAATTTTTTTTAATTATTTATATTACATTTATTAGTATTTAGTAGAGAGGCGTCAGATCTTGAAGCTCCCTCCAACACTACACGACGATCACGCCCACTCTGTCAAGAGTGAAACTATTGAGAGGAATCGATTATGGCACATATGCTATTCCGTTACTAAAAGTCAACATAAATCCGGGAACTGTTGATTAATGAGAGACAAAGAACTTAACTGTGTCCAAACTCACTGCATCCTTAAAGATTTCTCCCAGTGCGTACATCAAGAGCTCTCTGCGGCGCACGACGTGGGTTGTAATACTTGTAATCAATAAACTACAGTGTGCCCTGTAGCGACACGAGTAGATTAATCGATACGAATATAGCGATGAATTTTAATTAATTATTAATCGATTTTGATATATCGTTGTCGATCAGCGGGTTGGTTAGTGATGGGAATAACGCGTGGGAACGAATCGCGTAATTTAATTTACTATTTTTGTTTCGAATTGCAGAAGGAACTTCAAAATCGTAGTATTATGAATTAAATAAAAAGGTTCATTTTCCATGTCTTTTGGGTTTGTCGTCAGAAATTATTTATCTAAATGTAGGCACATGTTAAGAGAGAACCGTTTTTCTATCATTATTCGGACCGAATGCTTTCATTCATATCCACCGAGATCATTTTGGTCAGGTATCATTGGCATTGGCAATGGTCCAGTTGTGTATGGCCGATTGCACGACGTATTTACCTTAAAATCGGAACTAAGTGAAATGTTTTTTTAGATATCAAGTATGAGACCGATGACTTTATCATAATAATAATTTAAACATTATATATTATGATACTGTCAAATTAGAAAGTTTTGGATTTTATATTCATTAGATTATATGTATATCTCATGTTACATATTAATCTTATTTGTTAGCACTTTTGATTTATGCCAAAGTCGAAGACTAAACGTCAATAAAGGTTCACCGAACTAATCATAAACATTGAAGGATACAGTAGAAATATGTAGATACTCTATTTACGAGATTGATAGAGTATAAAATATATTGTCACGTCCAGAAAAGTCTAGAATTATCAGTTATATTCGATTTCGTTAAAGTTACGAAGACAAGCTATATCTTATCGGATAGTGTTGTAGTTTGAATGTGTAAGTAATGGCAGGCAAAAATAAGGCAACACTTATCACATGTGAAGTGACAGTTTTCGGATATCGGAATGTTTATTTAAATGGTCAAACAGAAGACGGTTATGACAATGTACTTTTCATCTAGAAACGGACAGCGAAACATCCTAGGGTTATATAAACATAAAATATTGTTACGCCGATAAGAGTAACGCCATCTATCGCCGAATAGTTGAACGAATATCGGAGGATCCAGTAGCAGATAGAACGCTCGAGAAGTGCAACGCCATCTGTTGTCGGATAGCGGAAACACAATACACGAAATGTGTGGAATATTCTCGATAATTCTAGGGATGTGGTATCGGCTATAACAGCGTTGCAGAGATGACACGTAGTCAGTTAATAATCGGAACTACTCGAAGCGAAACAGCGAACGGATCACCTGAAGCGAAGCGGAAGAAGCGATTGAGAATTTTAAAGTGTTTGTATAGTGTTTTAAGTGTTCTAAGTCCTAATACAGTGTTAGCTTGTACTTTGGTAGATTTATTTAATTATCCCGAACCCCAGTGCGTAACAATATTGTAAAAAGTGTAATAGTGTAGTGTTTGTAATATATATTAACCATGAAGCAAGTGTTTTAAAATAGCCCCTTACCTCTAGCGCCCACTCCCCTCAAATAGAACGGTCTAACAACTCTAACAGATAAAATATCGGAATTATAATTCCAATCACTATATGTAGAAGCATAAATCAGAATCCTAAAAGAAGGTATAGGGGTGCATAATAATCGACTCCCGCCGAGCTAAAATCTCCCGAGTATGGCATTGCATTAATTTGTACGCTGTTGGACGCCAATTTCAATACGGCGCTACCACTAGATGCTGCGAATAATAATTATGATTTACATTCAACATCGCAATGTTGGTACCTATGTCGTTTTTTCTGTTTAAATTTTAGCTGCTAATTTGAAATATTCAGTTTAAATTTGATTTTTTTTTTTCTTTTATTACCTAGATGCGTGGACGAGCTCACAGCCCACCTGGTGCTAAGTGGTCACTGGAGCCCATAGACATAAATGCGCCACCCACTTTGAGATATAAGCTCTAAGGTCTCAAGTATGGTTACAACGGCTGCTCGCCCTTCAAACCGTAACGCATTACTGCTTCACGGCCGAAATAGGCTGGGTGGTGGTGCCTACCCGCGCGGACTCACAAGAGGTCCTACCACCAGTAAACTGCATAGACATTAGCTTTTACGCTAGTAAGTGATAAGCTAGACGGTGATACTCACTGGTGCAGCCTCTAAATACACGCAACCATCGGCGAGTTGCTGGCGTACAAGTTAACTTTTACGCTATCGAGAACGTTAAAAAACTCGCACTAAGCACACTGATACTGATAAATAGATGGATGTATTATTTATTTATTTATACGCTATGCACAAAACATAAGTTGTACACAAGCGGACTTAATGCCATGGGCATTCTTTTCCAGTCGACCATAGGGTGGTGCAGAGAATGCATGGTAGGTGCATTAACAAAAGAATAACAAACAACAACAAAAAACAAAAAAAAGAACAAAATCATTACGTGTAGGACATAAGAAATTATTTGTTACAGACCTCATCGGTAGCATTGACGTCTCTCGAGTCAGCGTTGAGCAGGCTCGCGAGCCGGGCCGCGTCACCGCGCGCCGCCGCCTCCAGCAGCGCTGCGGCCAGACCCATTCGCCTTCACTCCATCACTGTAGCCAAAGAGAATACACAATAATTAGTTATCTATATATATATAAAAATGAATTGCTCTTCGTTAGTCTCGCTAAAACTCGAGAAGGGCTGGACCGATTTGGCTAATTTTGGTTTTGAAATATTTGTGGAAGTCCAGAGAAGGTTTAAAAGGTAGATAAATATGAAAATGCTCGGAATTAAATAAAAATAACAATTTTGTTTTTCCTTTGATGTCCCCCGAAGGACGGATTCCTTTTTTTGTTTTAAGTTTATTTTATACAAAAGTTTAGGTCTTTTATTCTGCCGGGTCAGCTAGTTAGTTATAGAAAGCAACTCAAGCACTCAACAAAAATTTTTACGGGCGTCGGTCACTAGATGGCTTCGCTTCGATTAGTTTAGGGTCGATTAGATTGGTCGATCAGGTGGGTCGTAAGCACCTCTGCCTACATGGGCAATAAAAACAAACAAAAAAACTAAGGCGAGAAGAACAATTAGGCTCCTGTCGTATCGTAAGCACTTTCCTTTAACCGCGTTTCAAGTTGTGGAGTAAAACTGCTGTACAGAAATATAAATCGCATAAAGCAGCCGAATGCTGTGTAGGAGGAGTCTACATTCAACACAATGGCGGATCCAGGGGGGGGGTCGGGGGGGTCATGACCACCCCCTGAGCTGGTTCCAGGACTTAGGTGGACCACTAATTGAATATAATGATTTTATTTATATATTTTGTCACCATACAGATTTTATGTAACTACATACCTTCAATATTTAATTAATTTAATATAATATAATAAGTTTGTATAATGGCAAACGTTTGGGAACGAACGCATCTAAATATGACTATGTGACCCCCTCCTGGCGCCAAAGCTGGATCCGCCCTTGATTCAACAACGCGTCATTACGCATTAATGTTGATTACGATGATTAAGCATCAATAGTATTAATCTTCTTCTTCTCTATATATAAAAATTCATTGCTGTTCGTTAGTCTCGCTAAAACTCGAGAACGGCTGGACCGATTTGGCTAATTTTGATCTTGAATGATTTGTGGAAGTCTAGAGAAGGTTTAAAAGGTTTAAAATAAATATGAAAATGCTCGGAATTCAATAAAAATAACAATTTTGTTTTTCCTTTGATGTCCCCCCCATCGGACGGATTCCTTTTATTTGTTTTTAGTTTATTTTATACAAAAGCTTAGGTATTTTTTTTATCGATTGAGGCACTACGAAGTCTGCCGGGTCAGCTAGTTACTTATAAATAATTAGTAAGTTCAATATCGTAAAAAGTGCTGACATAACAAGTTACAGACTTCTTTCTTCGTGAATGTTGCATATATAATCATCATCGGTTGTATTTAACGTTTGCTATCTTCCCAGGGTTTTTACTACCATATACGAGCATTTAAGTTCACAGCCTCATGTTGAAGGTTTGTTGAGATCATCGACTATTATTTGTTTTTTATATGCTTTCTCTGTACATATTATTATGGTGTTAAATAAAGTGTTATATTATTATTATTATTGACATTGGAACCGTGAAGGTATACCGTCCGTCTTGAGATGCGATTTTCTCGTTTTTGAATCATAACAGCAGCCATTTTTGTCCAACCAGAAAGCTTAAATGTTCCTAAACAGATATAGGCAAGACGGTGATACTCACTGATGCAGCTTCTACACACACCCACACGTCGGCAAGTTACTGTCGATGCTCATTAAACAAATTAGTCGAGTGATATCGATAACTAAGTAAGAGTCGATTTAAAAATATATTTACCGATAGTAATTCACTCTCGGTGCGCAAGCCGCACGCGCTGTACTCTTGTATCACAACTACAAAACGATGGGGCTTCGCATCATCGATTTATCAATGGTCTTCAGATGTTATCAGGGTACGTTTGTTTTGTATAAGCGATAGCGGATTGTTAAACGATGGAGGTAGCGGTTTGCAAAAATTATCTACCGTTAAATTTTCAGTTCATATTAATATTGAAGTTAGTTTATTTTTTATTGCCGTTGTAGGCAGACGAACGTACGGCCCACCTGATGGTGAGTGGTTACCGTCGCTCATGGACTTCAATGCCAGGGGCAGAGCCAAGCCGCTGTCTACCGTAAATATAATTATCGTAATAACAAAGTCATTATGCTTTTTTTTTTATTGCCTTTGTAGGCAGACGAGCGTACGGCCCACCTGATGGTAAGTGGTCACCGTCGCTCATGGACGTCAGCAATGGTAAGGGGGACAGCCAAGCCACTGCCTACCATTAAATGCTTCATATATTGCTCCTCCTCCTTGCGTCGTATTCCTAAAGGGTCCTAAAGGGACTGAAGGTTCCTTCTGTATCACTATTTCTAGCCAGATCTTTCTCTATCTTTTAAATACACACTTGACACTAATATTTTTGAGTATATGTATTAGGAAATTGAATCCATTTTAAAAGTGCCTCCCCGCTGCTTCCCACTTCCCACGGCTACTACCTTGAGAAATGGTATCGCTAATCGCGTCGCTTATCAGTAAGTGAACAGTCAAATCGAACAATAACGCATTATCATCGGTCGAGTGGTTCGGCGTGCCCTTCCGCCGCTCATCGCGTCCAGGACACATATTTCCTTAACTTTATTGACGTTGTTATAATGGGCTAAGCACGATGCTGTCAAAGAATATATCTTATGTATCCGATGTAGTATTTGAAGTCGCGCTATTAAAAATATACTGCAGACATATTTTTACTGGTGGTAGGACCTCTTGTGAGTCCGCGCGGGTAGGTACCACCACCCTACCTATTTCTGCCGTAAAGCAGTAATGCGTTTCGGTTTGTAGGGTGGGGTAGCCGTTGTAACTATACTTGAGACCTTAGAACTTATATCTCAAGGTGGGTGTTACATTTACGTTGTAGATGTCTATGGGCTCCAGTAACCACTTAACACCAGGTGGGCTGTGAGCTCGTCCACCCATCTAAGTAATAAAAAAAAGGTAGATCTTGATTATGTGTTGGATCTTTCGCGGGTAGGTAATACCATCAGCCATTAATATCTATTTCAGATCGCGAAGCAGTCATGCTTTTTGGTCGGAAGCCTGAGACAGGCGTTGCAAAACTCATCTGAGACTCTGACCTAATGGTATTCGACTTATGACGTCTATGAGCTCCGAACCATTACCATTAGGTCGTAAGTTCATCTAACAATGTAGCAATATAATAAAAATGAATAGAGTAATTCCGATTTCAAAATTAGGGGTAGCTCTTACTATAAACCTAAACCCATTTCTCGAGGTGGGTGGCGGCTTTTAACTTGTTAGTGTCTACGGGCTCCGGAAACTACATAACACCAGTTGCGCCGTGAGCTCGTCTATGGATTCAAGCAATAAAAAAAATCATAGGCTTTACTTACTTAATATTTAAAACAAAGTTGGTAACTTAAGACATTTCTTTGCTGCACGATAGAATAGAACAGTGTGCTTACTGTGAGTTTTTTAACGTTCTCGATAACGTAAAAGTTAACTCAAATTTGTATGCAGTTGGAACAGCGCCCCTAGCGGCAAACGTAGGCAGATGTTTCAACTGCATACAAATTTGAGTTAACTTTTACGCTATCGAGAACGTTAAAAAACTCGCACTGAGCTGAGCACACTGAAGGACCTAGGCCTGTTGCCATTGCGCTCGATACTTCAAAATAACGGTATCATTTCATCAGGTGGTAATTTTCACTGGTGGTAGGACCTCTTGGGAGTCCGCACGGGTAGGTACCACCACCCCGCCTATTTCCGCCGTGAAGCAGTAATGCGTTTCGGTTCGAAGGGTGGGGCAGCCGTTGTAACTATACTGAGACCTTAGAACTTATATCTCGAGGTGAGTGGCGCATTTACGTTGTAGATGTCTATGGGCTCCAGTAACCACTTAACACCAGGTGGGCTGTGAGCTCGTCCACCCATCTAAGCAAAAAAAAAAAAGGTAGTAACAACGTTATAGTCTTGAGGATGCATCGGTACCAACCCACAAAAAAACGTTCAGCCCACTCAGATATCGTAAACTACCAATAAAATCGGCTTTCGACGATAAATGCAAATGTGCACCGGAACGTTACAATGACTTACACCTAAATTTACATTAAAATCAAACAAAGCGTGTGTCATTAGCATAAATCATGCACGTTGTGGGCGCGAACGGAAAGTGTTGCCATCACACTGAATTCTAATTCTTCTAATTTCATTTCAAAAAGTGTTGTCTTGATTTTGATGTATGTAAATATGACCTTAACTAATTGTAAATAGTGATCGCTCGTGAACACACTTCACGTTAAATCAAATCAAATCAAATCAATTAATTTTTTTTAGCTTTATTAGCTAAAACACGGTTTACAAAGTTGTTGATAGTTATTTTATAGAACAGCGTGTTTCTACCTGGTCCGCGTGCAAATATTATTCAAAATTATTTACCATAAATGCAGTTAAGTATAACTTTTAGGTTAAGAACAGTCACAATAATCTTTTCTGTTCACGCTGTATTTGAGTGACATATTTTCTTGTGCGCTCCGTCGAATGATGATAGTTACTATAACGGTACCAATGATGGCCCTCATTGTTCTCGAATCAGAGAAACTGTACGTGGATTACAATGGTTGTCTACGCGTAATTAACGATGCAGTGTCTGGTATTGGGTCTACGGGACTACCAACCAAACGGTGCTCCGAAAATATGATCCGTTTGCTTGGGAAACTGTTATGTTGGTAATATAGTGTATACTATGCACATTAGCAGACTAGTAAAGAAAATAGCTATAATACCTAAACGTAGAGAATGAGCAATGAATGTTTTGTATTGATTTCCGGTGCTGTCGATATTATTTAAAACATTTTTAATTATAATAGTTTAAGTTCATTAGAATTAAATCAGATTTGAGACAGATACTAATAATAATTTTTGCTTTCTTTCGGTAATCTTTGCTTATATTATTATCTATTTGCGTTGTATTACTAAACATAGGTCAGTGAAAACATTTGATAATTTGACATAATAGACAAAAT